CAGGTTTGATGATGATGTATGGCTGAGCTCAGGACATCCGCACACCGCATACATTATTGTTTTAATCAATTGCTGCTATGTTGTGTAATATTTACAAAATACTACACTCACATCATTCCTGTATTGTTCTTCAGCTTTAGAGATTGTCTTAGTTATGTCATCATCCACTATAAACATTAACTCCTGTGGGTCTGGCAATTCCCGCACATTTGTTGACCCCTAATTACAAACAACATCAAATTAGGATATAATATCATTTGAGTATACATGTATCACTATCAAAATACAATCTCAAATGGGGAATGTATACCCACTTGGACACCATGAACATTAAAGCATATTATGAACTACGAACACAAGTTTACACTAAAGATCATTACATAAAATATTTCCCTGCCAGAAATACAATTGTTTCGAAACAGAATAATATTAGGTTTATTTGTTGGTCTTACGGTCAATGCGCCACGCAATAGTCCTCAACATGAAAACGTCCCGAACAATCACAGATACCTCTCAGTCCAGTTGCCTATAACATTAATTGTCTTAAATCTCCAATTTGGCAACAAATGATGACCATCTTATTATGCGGCTATTCTCAGTATGGTTACAATGCAACTGTATAAATGGCTTATGATCAGTACATATAATAAAATCTGTTCTATATACATTCTCTTTCTATAAGGCAATAATTTCGTTTCTCTGAAGTAGTTTCTTGTGCCTTTGTTTGGATGGCACTTTCTAGTCAAATCTGTCAAAGGGACAGCTATCTATTTGCAATAAATTTGCTGTAATAATTTGCGACACCAATGAAAGAGCAGGGCTGATTCTTGACCTATTGTTGAAATCACCATTCGTAACGTTCTGAGCTACAAAATCAGTGATATCAAATGAAACATTTCAAGGGTAAAATATTGATTTCTGCTCATTGGCTCTTGACAAATAAGACAAAGAGTGTCTCTGGTTTAACAAGTCGTGGCCTAGAATGACATCCTCATTACGAGTCACATAGCAGCTTCCTGACAGCAGCTCTTCATCATGAAGTTGCCCTAGTTTAGACATGATGGCTTTGATGTCTTTCGTAGGCAACAAATCAAACTTCCTTATACTGTTTAATATACAGAAGTCAATACAGACAAGCTTGCTGTAATCTTATTTGACTACCGTGATGAATGTTCAACCGTACTTCAACTTTGGCAGTTTCATTACTTTACAGTTTGCAGTATTTTATCAACTTTATGTTTACAGCTTCTTGGCAAACAGCATTGTGTGTGCCCAGACTTGCACCAGTCACTAGCTGCGTATCATGTTCTTAAGTAGTAGTATCAGGTCTATCAGTGAAAACTAGATAATAGAACACTTGGTAAGTTGTTCATTTGAAGTTGTGGAGTAACATGATGGAAGTCACCTGTTATATTACTAAGTTCAAGAGACCTTCATCATCAACTGCATCTGTTTGTTTTTTCATCATCAATGACAGCTAATTAACAGGGTGCAGTTACTTAAAGTCGTCGCACCGCGTCCTGTTCGATATGGGACTCATAGCGACGTATAAAACGCGTGTAAAATACATTGTAGATTTACATGAAATTCCAACATGCGCTGCGCGACGACCACCGCGCTTTAAGTAGTCCTTTGTTTTTATCGTCATGCTCTTCATGCATTGTTTTACTTGCATTGTTGTTAATTTCTACCTTATAGTTCACATCATTTAGCACACTGACAATTAGATATGGACTTTCTCGTTGAAGTAGACAGTGTTCATAGACCATTAAACCATCTTCCTCAATGTTAGCTTTCTGTCGTGTGAATGTAGGTAGGAGAACAACAACCTTCTGCTCCAATCTTCTTGTAATGATGTTTCTGTCAACCTTTTGCTTTGGCTAGACTCTCTCGCTACTGACAAGTTTACAGGTTTTCTTTTTCTTCCAGTAAATTGCATAAATTCGCTGCATAATTTTATGTCATATACACTTCTATTGGTATGCTTAAAACGCACCTGACAATATCCGTATCTCATTGTGTATTCATCGATCAACAGCATGTTGCAAAGGGAAATGTTAAATGCCGCATGATCAAATTTGGCATAAGAAAAAAAGGAATCCTACATTTATTTTGTGCCCATAAGATCTTTGAGAATAGTCATGTGCTAGCATCATAAAGTGCGTTCCCAATTAGGTTGGTATGATTACTGGTCTCTATCCATGTAACTAAACATGGTCACATGTACCTGTATTATAATATACCTTAATATACAATATTTAAAGATCCCTTCTTACTAACCACCTTCCATACGTTCTCTAAAGACATATCTTGCTTTCCATCCTTTATAAGCTGCTCAATATTGTCTGACTATACCTGAGTAGTGACTATTTCACCAGTTTCACATTCCATATATGGACTTATTCTGGATTTACATTAGATACATACATTGCTGATAATCAAATTATGTCAAATTGAGCAATATATAAGGCTCTTGCAAAACATGCAAATTCAATGATTAAAATGAACGAACAAAAAGAGATATTCCGACAATCACAAACATATTTCAACAGTCTTTGAAAAATGGAATGACAAATTGCTGTATGTCAAACTATAACTAATATAAAATATTTAAATATGTTTAATCATGTCAGTGCAACTGCATTTTTTGTCAAAAAGTTACTATGCTATATTCCCAAACATAACCAGTTTTGGGGTGACAAATATCAGAAACGTGCGACAGTTTGTATCATAGCGATGGACATGAGTACTAGGTCAGTTTAGGGTTGTTTACTGGAAAAGGTAAATATGTAATTACTGATAAAATATTGTACATTGGTTCTATATTTGTCCCGTATAGCAACCTTCGCTCCTGTGTTCGTGTGACATATTTAAAGATTTCATGCAGATAAATGAAAACAATAATACATTTGCTGCGATTATGCAGTTTTGCTGCAAATATGAAAACAATATTTATGTGATGTACCTTCCAGATGCCATCTTGTGAGATAATTTGCTCAGTTGTATGGGATACATGATTGACCAAACAAATTCCATCCATCACAGAGTGCTGAAATATAAATGGTGATAAAAATGGTGTTATGGTTACCAATAAATAAATTTCGAAAGGAAGACGAAAATTGCGATAAGGCATTGAAAAATGTGATATAATGTGAGAAATAGACACTCAAGCACATGGCGTGCAGCTGACCGATCATTAGAACCTTTCTGTTGATATTTGCTGTCGTTCGTAATACACAACAAAACCATAAGCGTATTTGAGCATTATACAACATATAAAATGAGTGTGTCAATATATATTCAATGTCAGTGTTAGATGTGAATGTGTAAACTTATACCTACGTCAAAGTTAACACCAAAGGTTCCATTTTCAAAACTGATAAGTGTATAGCATTTATCAAACCATCGACCATGACCATTACCAAATAAGGATTTCTCACAAGCCTATCAGCAATTTATAATAACAACATGTAATTTATAGTCGCTGCTACTGTATAACCATGTTAACAGGTACCGCACGTAAAACAAACTGACTAAAGCAGGTTATTTTGAATTCTATAGAGTAAAACAAAGACGTGTTCGAAGCGTCAACATTACGCTGTGAATAATTTATCTTACCGCCTGGCGTGTATCTGCTGAAATTTCTTCAAGGCTTAAAATTAGTAAACTGGACTCGATATCATTAAAGATAGATATATTATGTCGGTTAAGCTTACGCAAATGTATTCTTGCCTTCAGAAAAGATAAAAAACATTAGAATTATAACTTACGTGCGATCCATTTTATTTTTAAATTATATCTCACACAATGCGATATATTTACGGAAACATGCATTACAATATTCAAATTTCTTATTATTAAATTATGATAAAGTGTTATTTGTGAAAAAGTAACATTACCTGTGCCCATGGTGTTCTGTCCAATGCTGTCAAAATTCCCACACTTGGTATAGTAGGTTTATTTTCACATGTATCCTTTATATATTGTAATTGTCTAAATGAAGAGATGTAATCAATTGCTTGTCCCTTATGCCAATTCACTCTTATTTGGTGTCATTTAATTTACAATACACATGATTTACTTTCTATTCTATTGAAAAAGATACTCAAGTAAAAAAAAAATGTAGAATCAGCAAATGTATTGCATTTTGAGAAAACCTACATATGAATTGTTACTTTTCTACATTACTAATTGTTGTTCAACAACTGAATTCTGTTGTGTGTTTCCTGTCCCTATTATATCGAGTCAATGATCAAAGTGAATACCTTTGTAATTCTGGAGCAGAAAGTATATTGCCGTCATCGTCGGTGACCGTGAATCTATAAAAGTGACCTTTACGCAAAACAATGATATGGTCTGGACAGTTTCCTTCTTTCTCTGAAATACAAAATTGTGATTATTGAGCTCACAGCATGATTTTTTATTCTATTGTTTTAAACATATTACACCAAATTATTGTGTTTATCTTTGTGCCATCTGTTACGAGACCGAATTGTATATGTTTACATGAAGCTTTAGATAATCGCCTGTGAAATGGATGTGCAGAAGACGGTTAGTGTTTGACAAGATTCAATGAATTCCAAGCTTGTCAATTCTATTAAGAAATGTATAATACAAACACGTTCTGTATATTTATTCTATATTCTTAAATTCCAGGAAATAAATTCAGGAAATACTACATTAAAGTAATGTATTTATTTATATATCTCAAATAATGTTTTCTACTTTCATTCTCTCTGAGTGGGCATACCCCTTGCATGTATAAAATATGAGGTTACTATAAAAATCACACTAAGTATTCACGAAAACAGTACAGGGAGATTGTGATTATGACGCATAGGTTTATGTGACCATGTACTGTTCGAAAACATACTTTGTGGTATCACCGTAATGACCTCATAATATTCCTGATAAAACGGATATGTGTCTGATATTGGTATAGTTTAAATACACTGAATTATTAGGGTTGTACAAACCCGTTTGTTTATCAAATCATACCAACCAGAAAATCCGTGGAAATAATAAATTTCGTTTATTACTCGTTAGGCTTAATTACAGATTACAGCCCAAAACGGAAACTACTAGAGAATATACCAAAGGAAACACCCTTGGGTAGCATTCTCTAAGAAAAAAAGTCCTCGTCTAAGCGGTCACCTCTGAAAACAATGATCATGTGCCAGAGGCCTGCCAGTTTCAAATTCTCACTAATGTTTCTGGTGCGTCACAACAGGCCGCTCAGAAGCTTGTAAGGAGGTGGGCGGTTCCACGGATTTTCAGGTAGATATGATTAGGTAAATAAACAATAGTTTACTACATCATCTACCAGAAAATCCGTGAAAAAAATGTTATTTATTACTCGTTAGGCAGAGTAACACGCTCACCAAAGGTGGGAAGCTCTTGTAGGAAGTGTTGGCTACTTCACGCACGTTGTTTGCCCTCACCTGCTGATGTTCCAAACTGGTCGTTGATAATCAACAATCCACCGTGAAATGGTGAAATTCGAGGCAGGGTGGTTTTGCTTGCCCCGTCCATAACGGATACCAGCTCAGAGCTCTCACATAGAATCCGTTTCTGTCAGTATTCCTTGCCCACTATGTTAGTGAGGCGTGGGATGACAATCAGTTCAGGGTCACGCCCTGGGATTTGATTCTTGACAAGAAAGCCCATACAAGTCTTCAAAATAAGTTCATAAAAGATGCACATCCATCATTTAAGGACAGTGCCCCTATCTCTAAACCCTGCCTACCTGAAGCAAGAAAAGAAAAAAACTGTGTTCATAGTGACATACTTCATGTCCACTTTATCCATAGGCTCGAAAAGGGTGTGTCGTAACTCGGGCCAGTTTCATTCCAGCAGATTCCGTTAAAACTGGGAACAAAACTGACCGATATCTAAGAATCATTGATTTTCCTTGATCGAATAAATAAAAGAAATTGGCTACCTTTCTAATAGAGGGACTGAGATGAGCAATCTCCCTTTCGTTACACCAATCAATGCAAAGTCTGGACAGATCTTGCTTCGGACAGACAACATCCCAGGGGGTGTGGGACCTTCTGAAAATGTTTCAGAAACAGTAAGATGGTCTTCAACTCCAGCCAATCGATGTGGAGGCCTGCATATGTGGTCGGCCACGTCCCTTGGATTTGAAGTTCCATCAGATAACCACCCCATCCATGGACCGACTCATCTGTAATGAGAGTCATCGGATCTAGGGGCATTCCCCTTTCCAAATTCCAGGCATCCTTCCACCAAGGGAGGGCCGCTAAAGCTTGGTCAGACAATTGAACCCTGAACATCAGGTTCTACATGTGGAACCTGTGGTCCAGTAAGCACATCTGAATCGAATGAGACCAGAGAGCTGCTAACGGGGCTAGACAATGAACTGAAGTAATTTTGTCAATAAGGCGCATCAGTTCGCTGATCTCGTCGACAGGAGTTGGTTGGCGAGCGCACCATACCTGAGAGGGGCGGACAAGCTCTTAGTCAGTGTCGAACTGCATACCCAAAAAAACTTGGGTTGTAGGTGCATTTGCGTCAATCACACATGCTCCTCTAACACCTTCCTGTCTCAGTTGTGTACTAACCAGTCTTCAGGTAAACCGACGAACAGTGTAGCAGTGATTGAGCTCCACAAATACATTCAATCGAGGTCTAGGACAAGAAGCCATCCCAATCACTTGGGAAAGATTTGGGAATAGAACCCTGGAACTGAATGGGGGTTCTCCACTAGGTATGGCCCTTTTCTTCAGAAGGCTGGCTACTTCCTGTCGGATTGTCCCTGCATTGACCACGTTCCTTGGCAGAAGACCAGGGAGAGGATGAGGAGTCAGATGAGGAGGAGACCGAAGAGGATTCTGATACCCTTGAGACACTACTGCAAGTGCCCAGGGATTGGAAACCAAGCTGGAAAGGAGCGGATGGGGGTTTGGAGCTAGAGCTCCCCGAACTCCAGCCTCCAGCTAAGGAGGATGAAAACAGGTAGACTGAGCTCGAAGACTCCAGAGGGAGGGTTCCGGAGTGGTACAACCATCCATGCCCTGGCTGGCGGTGAAACCTTCAAAGAAACTTTGCGACTCCCACGCCAAAGTCTTTGTCTGATGCTTCCTGCTACTATTCTTCTTCTGCCCCTTAGAAAGGGACCATGCGTGCTTTGATCCTTGCTGGTTCTGGTCCCGAGCTGAGGACTTATTGCCTGAGCCGCCTTGCGATTTTGGTTCGAACTGCTGGCCAGAAGGACTAGCTACACTGGCTAAGGTTGATATCTTCAATTGAATACATTGATTCTCAGCAACCGCCAAACCATTCACCGAATTAGTTAACCGGCCACCAAAAAGCCGGTCACATCTCCAAGGCCTTCTTTACAGGCAGTCAAACTTGTCTCCCGCTGGAGTAGGATAAGCGTACTAACTCCAAACTGCCTCCCGCTCGACTGAAACTGCTACTGCCAAGAGGGGCAGTATGGACATAGTGACTCTCTGCGCAACCAGAAACTGGCCCATCTGCCCGAGGATTGTGGTTCGTTGTTTAGTACTCACATGGTCAGAACTTAACAGGGTGACCTGATGCTCTAAGACCAAAGTAACCCATTCTAAAAAAATATGGGTTCAAGCTCGTAAAGCCTGATGCACCTGCAGGCTCTGGTGCCTGTCAAGTGACCATGCAACATAGCCTTCTTGATCAGTGCAACCCACCTTAACAGAGGTAGAGTACAAAGATCGGGACAGGGAACCTATTGAAAAGGCTGCAGTACTGCATCAGTATCCTACACCAGGGACCTGTAGACGGTTCCCATAATGGAAGGCATTGGACAGGACTGATTCAAATCCAGGATCACTTATGTTGTCCTTTTCTCTCGAAAAGTACCAATCACCCCTTCCATCGACAAGGAGGGAACAAGAGATGAAAAAGCGCTCCTCCCTTGCTGGGAAAGTGGTAGGTGCGTACTACCCTGCACAGGGGTACCAACACTGGAGTCCCCCCTTGGAGAGTCACAAGTAGGGGCACTCTGCACGGCTTGGTGAAACACATGAAACGAAGCCTGGTTAGACCATGCCTGAGGGGGTGTAGGAACCTTGGAGGAGGGGACATAGGATGCTCGCTTCCAGAGAATGCCCCCTCCCCCCTTCTCACTGATGTGAGTTGTCCCCCCTGATCCTCTAAAGGAGAGACCAACGGGAGAATGAGTCACATCTTACCCTAGTCCTGGCGGGGGAGGGACTAGCAGTGTTTCAGCCTGTGTCCATCTCACCGGACTCCCCCAGGTCCTCCTGCGTTGTACCCCGTGACTGCAGTAGGGAGTTCAATTTGGAAGCCAGATCAAACATCCACTTTTTACAAGCGATCTCATCACCATGGGAGGAGCCCCTTTCACCATGATTAACATCAGGAAGGAAAGACAATGAGGTCTGTCCCTGTACACGTGCAAGCAACTCAGGCTGCATCGGTATCAATGAAGTCTTGGTGGATTAGACTGGATCAGCCCAAAAAAAACTGTACCGATCCCACCTCGGTACTCGGCATCTATGTCAGCACCCCAGTGGGAATATGCTGTATACAGACATTGGTAACAGAAACTCTGATCCCCCAACAAAAGCGGCACCTCGGTCATATCACACAGAGAAACTGACTCAACACTGGGAGAAAGTCTTTCAAAAGTAGCGACTGATGCCTTCGTCACCTTACCGGTGAATGGTTGTGAAGGTCTTGCCTTGATCTTCGATCCCACTACATTGAGCAGGGAGTGGGACCTTGGCAACGCTCGATCTTCCTTAGTTTGCGATCGGAGGCAAGCCTCGTCTTGGTCCCTAAGGGGAGGAAGAGATTTTTCACTCATAGAATCAGACACATCGCTAGCCGTGGCTGGCAATTTCCCCATTTCAGCGCGACACTTACCACCCTTTCGTGATCGCTTGCCTTCAGCTTTCTACCTCGCCTCAAAGTGCTTCCATGCCTGGGAATTGCATAGGTCGCAAATGCCCTTGAGGCAAAAACCTGAGTCCTGCAGGCAACCCAAAGAAGCGTGACAACACATATGCGGATCCCAAAATGGCATTACTTAGTGGCAGTGCCAACGGTTTTGTCGGCACGTTCTCAGTCTAGGAGAAGATTAGAAATTAAATTGTGATAAACGGGAAAATTCACCCCACCAAAAAAGTAATCGAAGCAAATACAAAACTGAACTGGTGATTCAACAAGAACAGGCAAACCTGGGGCCTTAATAATGGAAAGGCCTTACCGTGATGTCGGAGGTCAGAGTCGATCGCCCAAACACTTGATTTCTAGGAAAGGCCAATGAAGAAAATTGTCATCTGCCTCTTTTGTCCGGTACACGCTTGTAGAAAATTGGAAACTGGCAGGCCTCGGGTGCGTGATCGCCCTAATGCGAGGCCTTTTTACTTAGAGAATGCTATCCTAGGGTGTTTCCTTTGGACCTGAGTATATTCTCTAGTAGTTTCCGTTTGGGGCTGTAATCTGTAATTAAGCCTAACGAGTAATCAAAGAAATTTATTATTTCCACAGATTTTCTGGTAGGTGATGTATTAAACATTACATCTTCCTACCAGTTTTAAAATGTCTCGTGATGGTATCCATCTCTATGCCGGGAACTACGCTGGAACTAAACATACTTCGGTATTGATGCATGGAAAAAATAGATTTATCCCGACTAGTTTCCAATGGGAGCGTCTCCCTAATATGTGAAATGAATTCAACAAATTAAAAAAGAATTTTTTTTATTGGAGAATATATATGACTGGCATTCTATTCAATGCGACGGATGAATTATATTAGCAGTTTGTTTTCGGTGAAACCTAAAAATTCCTTCAACGGACTGTTGACAACGGACTATGATTAACTTATACATATCGTCCCAACATTAACAAAAAACAATAAGCAATACATATTTGGTATTGTTATACTTACTCATGGATGGATTGCCAGTATTTCAACACATTCCACAAAATCAGCGCACATCTTTCCACTTGTGTACCTTTCTTAGGTGGCCAAACGTTCATAACTAGAATCGCAAAGGCAACATTTGCGCCACCAAAAGGTTTCGAGCCTCTCGCTGACAAATAAGCACTATTCTCCCACCAGTTTTCAAGCTATGAAAAAAGTGCATATTTCGTACTTGCAAGTTGTTTTACTATATCGCACAAAATAGATTAACGTTCCGAGCCCACGAGCATTATTGCTGTTCTGTTTGATAATACAGTGAAATAATTTTCACTATGTCCGCACTATATAAAAAAGATCGAGTTTTGTTATTGATCTATAAAACTTAATTGAATGCTCACAACATGACCAATCAGCAACGGTTTTACTTGTTGGCGGTTGGTTAAGCCAAGATCGATCAGCTGTTAATTGATTTTCAGCAAACTGACAAAAAAATGTTGTTTCAATCCGTATTCACAATGACTGCCCCATATAGTAAATATCAATAGATTAATGGCATTTATTTCATCCTCACTTTTACACCGACTGACTATGTCAAAGGCAATTGCACTTCCATGTGAATGAGCTCTATAAATGTTAGCAATGCAATTTACAGCGTTTCACTTTATACAAACGTTTACCTAGCTTACGTTATCCATTATTTTTATTTTAAAAGCAAGTAATTATGGGTAAAATATGACAACACAACAGTGGTTGCAAAAAATAAATTGATAACAACAAATAATAACATGCAAATTGTCACTGTACATATAACTCGTGTATGCATAATGGAAATTAGAATGTTACAAGACACAAAAAGAAACAAAGTTGAAATGAAATAAAAATCATTATTTTATAATAACATGTTTTGAACCCTGTTTGCGGTCAACGGGTTATATATTAACCTGTCTAAGCTTCTTCCATCAATAAATGTTGTTAAATATACAAAGAATTTATCATTGGTAGACAAATGTAGAAATACAAATGCAAATATGAATATTTAGTTCTATCGACATGACAACCAGTTTATATGTTCCATGTTTTAAACTAACCAGTTGGAAGATGCGCTTAGGAAGTCATTGATAAAGTAATTTTCAGAATTTTCACAAATATGCTATGATGTCATGCTTTCCTCGTAATCATTTTCTTGAGAATCAAGATAGCGGATCCCATAAACTAATTAAAATTGGAATATCTAGATAATGAAAAGTGGCATGTGTTGAGCTCTTTCACATTGGAGTATCTACAAGACGTTGTTAGTCTAAGCGAACACTTTAAAAAATAGAAAGTATATTTAATGTTTATATATTAATAGAAAAGTTACCCAGTTTTTTTCCGTTGAGGCTTTTTTCAGTAAAGTTTCATGAAGGGTTTTTCCAATACCATTACCAAATTCTTTGACAATGTTTGTAGTTCTTTCCAACTCAGCCAGTGAAACATGAGGCTTAACTAGATATGATTATACAAGAAATATGATTAGTTCAATACTCTACCCACCGATCTTACGACGTGTGGTACGGCAGTAAGTCTCTCATCAAATTATTAACTATAAGCAGGCAAAGTATAAAATAAAATAAGGCGATCACAAGAACGCTACGAAGTGTGCAGTAAGGCGTCGCATCGACCACCGCTAAGCCACCTTTAGGTTACAGCTTCAGGTTACTATTTGACTTTATTATATAGCATTTAAATATGGCAATTTACATTGGTATCACGGTCCCGGTTTGATAATATAATGTTGCGCGAGGGTCATGAAGCGCTCCCTACTAACAAAGGTTTGAATTTGTAGCACGCTCGTTCATGGTTTTAAACGATATTAATAATTATAATAGTCTTTATTATTTTCGGTTTATTAATAACAAATACACTTTTGATGTTTACAATAACAACAATATTTATAACCTAAATAGTGGTAGTAGTACCTGGGGCTCCATAGTTCTATCTATATCGTAAGCCCTCGTCCCTAGAGAAAATATGCTTTGCTTTCCAAACAAAACATTCGACACGCGT